AGCCATGTAAATTTAAATGAAGCTGCGATCATTTAAATCGCGGCTTCATTTGACTTTGCCAAAACAACAAATCTACATGGCTCCATCGACGGAGCCATGTAGTTTAGACGTACCCCTACAGACATGTGCGCAGCCTGTTTATAGAAGAAATGTATCTGGACCATACTAATATTATTATGTTTATTATGGCAGCACCTAAGGAACAAATGAGAACTGGGCCCCAATTGTGCTAGCCCTGTACAGAAACAGAGTAATAGATTTAAACATTTTCCAGACAAATCAAGATCCTGATGTTTATGATGGTTTGGGGGGTGAGTTCTTATTGTCAGAAACAAGCAGAAACAAGCAGCTCTAATTATCTGTGCACACTTAGCTGAACTTGGCACAGACATGAGCTTTAAGAAGCCTGAAGCCCTACTGTGTGAATGACAACAACTCCAATACAACTGCAGATATCCTGTGTCAAATGCATGCTTGGAAAAGACAACAGCTTGTAGAGCCATGTTTGGTAAAGTACATGGAAGTCGGTATGCAAAGTCCCTAATATATCATCTGCATTTAATCATTTTCCCAACCAAATTCTCCATAACTAGTGGATGCATCACTGAGGCCAATAGAACCAAACAAAACTGAAGACTCTAGACATTTCTGCAACAGCAGGAGCCAAAAAATTAAAATTAAAATAAAAACAAGCTGGAAACATATCAGAAAGTGCAAGCCATTCATTTTGCACACACATATAATCAAAACACCCATATCCAATTTATACCAAATTCTCCCCTACTATAAAATCACCCAAGTGAGATTTCACACCCATTGCTTGATAATGACTACTGTAAGATGAGCTGCATGTCAAAACATGGCTTAAAATGGGCAACTACCCATAGTACCAAGGGAGTAAGATCCCCCCTCGTTTATCTGTCTTCCCACCCATCCGTCCATTGTATAAAAATTACCAACTTCTCCTCTCACTACTCCCTGCCCTAAGGACAGGAGGGTCATTCTCACTGTAACTACAACACAGAAAGAGGGTGTCATAATGAGAGTTAGGTAATTTGGTTGGATTCTCTAGCCTGCTAAGGCCACTTTGCGCCACTCAACCTTAAAGCTGAGATGGCCAACAGAGAACATCTCTTCTGGCAAAGGAGGTACAGTTGCCTCCTGTGCCTGCAGCCCCACCACTCCTGGAAAAAGAGGAGGGAGAAGGTATAATATTAGCAGTGTGCTGAAGGCAGACTGGCTGGAGGGCAGAGTAGAATGCAGAAATGTCCAAACTTCCACTGGCTCAAGGTTCCTAAGAAACAAGCTTGCACTCGTCTAAGTGGCTGAGAATCAAACAACCCCAACCAGCCTCCCTCACACCCCATCAAAGTTCCCTCTTAGCTGCACGGCAGGACGTCCCTCCAGCTGCTTAATCAGCCCTGCCAAGGTGGGCAGCTCTGTCCATGGAGCCCTGAGCCCCTGGCAGGGTGAGGCTGATTAAGCAGCCACAGGGATGTGCTGCAACACATTTTAGAGCAGGGCTACTCAAATTTGGAAGTCCCAGGGGCCTCAATGCTACTCACACTGAGCTGAGGGCCACAACTTAGCTGTGGTTGCATATGCATGCAAATATATATGCAAATATATGCAAATAGCATCTTTCACTCTTATCTCCATTTCCATTAATCTCTGCAAAAGTGCATTTCATCTCCCAAAAAGGGGTTGAAAACCCTGTGTTCATCCAACAAGCATCTCTTTTTTGTTGCTATTTTTATGCTTTTTATTAAAAAGAAAATTGTACACCAGTGTTTTGGGTGTTTAGCTTGAAGCTTCAGGTTGTGCGTTTCTTGGGGTGATTTTACTGTAAAAGGAAAAGTTTCCAATCTTCTGTGGGCAGGGAGCTGGGAGAGGCCTCGTCCTCTTTCTCTGCATTGTAAAATGCTACGGTTCCATTAGAAAAGACTGTCAACTTACCGATACCATCTCTCCGACTTTTTAACAAAGTCTTTCCCTTGTT